GACCTAAATGTCGAAACTGTGTGTGAATTCATCAAAAACCAGCCGAAATCATCATTGAAATTCATGGAAATGGAATTGAATATCTCCAAAATATCGACTTATCGCATTTTGACCGAACATTTGGGCTTACGAAAGGTGTGTGTAACGGTTTGTTCCCTAAAAGTTGACTGACGACCAAAAATTGCTCAGAATCCAACATTCGAAGGATGATTATTTGACCAAAAATCACAGTTTAACCATTAACCACTCCTCGTATTCACCTGATATGACACCCTGCGACTTCTTCATTTTCGAAAAAATTCATTTTCCCATGAAACGAAAGCGTTATGCAGGCGTAGGGGCCATTCAAAAGTCTTGCGCCGACATACTGGTTCGACAAGCTTTTGGACCGTGCAAAACGGTGTATTGAAGCAAAAGGAGACTATTTCAAAAAAAATAAATTGATTTTGTCGAAAAAACCATTTGTTGTTTTTTTTTTTTTTTAAATCCTGTTTACTTTGGAAAGCACGTAAATACCGGACACCTGACGCTTGCAGTAAAATGTTCAATTTCGTTGGACCCTGCCTTCAGGTACACACAGTAAATATTTCGGCTTATTTATGCAATCCTCGGCCTGATTTTCAGTGTACGAGAAATCGCAAAATAATAATATCATAAAATGACGTCTACTATTGGTGTTGTAATATTATTATACGTAATATATACAATACAAAGCACTACCAACTACACATACCTATATAAATGAAAAAACAACAACGATTTTCCAAAAAGCTTACAAACACACACTGCAACAAATTATGGCCAAATGAGTTTTCCATGTCTTTCTCAATGACCAACCGCACAAAAAGACAAAATGAGATCGTTATCCCGATTAGGGACATTTATTATGAATTTACCGTTATTCATTCGCTCATTTAAACAATCAATATACCAAATAATGCAAGCTCCAAGCACGAAATGTCGGCTACGAGCAAACGTATTGTTTTACAGGATTTTAGTTCATCGAAGCAAAGCGAGCGTGCGAAAACGAAGTTTAGAAGAATAACAGTTATACGAATAAATAAAATACGGCGCAAAATGTTAAAATGTGCAGAAAAAACTTTAGTTACACTTGTGCATAATTTATTTTAATTTTTAGTTCTCAAAAAAATACAATAACAACAAAATTCGAATGGCCATGTTATGGATGGAAACATATCTCTTCTATTGTTCGGTGCGTTTGGGTGTGCTTGTGGTGGTCGTGCTCGGCTTTGTGAGTAAATTTCCAAAAAATCAAAGCACATGTCTTTACATTAAAAATATTTACACACTTATATAACTAAATATGTTTTTCGTAGGTGCAAGTATTTATACCAACAGTTTTGCTGCTTTCTATGGGCATGGAGATAGTGAATCCCATCATGAAGCTTTTCAGAGACGATGAGCAATTTGGCAAAAATATTCACATATTGAGAATTTTAAACTGGATAGATAATCGTAAGTGAGAAAAGATGAATGAAGGAAATGAATTGTTTATAATATCACAGCTAACTTTAAGCACAGCTGAAAGTTGCACTACATCGGAGGTTTGCTCTAAGGTTTCCTCGCTTTCAATGCAACTCCTGAAAGAAGAGAAAACCGATTGACTTTCAACTGACAAACGCAGAATAAGCACACTGTAAGTTCTGGGTTTTGAAAGAGTGATTCATTTCGAGGTTTCCTACTTTTTTTGAAGAAAAATCACAGAAACTTTAAATTTAAAGTGAAATGTTTATTATCAACCGAACGACCAATCCTTGGTATTTATCTTTTGAAGATTATATCTTCCAAAAGTACGCCGCGGCTACGTCTCAGATGGTTCATCATTTCGACTGCTTACTGGCGAATAACACGAGTGATGCTTTGCTTCAAGGCCAGAATGGAAGCGGGATTGTCGCATAGACCTTACACTTTAGATATTCCAACAAGAAGTCTAACGGTGTGATATCATAAGAAATGTGAAATTATCTGCTCACCAAAGTGTTCTCTTAATAAATCTATTGATTGATGCGTCATGTGAGAAGTGGTGTCCTTGTTGAAACCAAATGGCGCCGAGATCACGACCTTAAATTTTAGGGATCAAATAATCCATTATCAACTCACGATAACGGTCGTCATTGCCGGTTACGTTCTCACCGACATAATTTTTTAAGAAATATGGACCTATGATTCACCGGCCCACAAATTGCATAAAGTGCCAGCTCTTAAATCTCTTAACGTTGCTCTTCGTCTCAAATGTAGCAATCTTGCTTATTTACATACCCATTGAGTCAGAACATAGCCTCATCGCAGAACAAAATTTTGCTTGAAAACGCCAGAACTTCGCTTCTTTTCAAGAACCCAAAGAGCGAAGCGATGTCCCTTAGAAAGGTTGAACGACTTCAATTGTTATACTAACTGTATTTGGTACGCTTTCAATTTAAGATCCCCAAGTCGTTCCATACGTCAGTCTGAGTTGCTGCGAACGAATCGAATCAACCATCCACAGTCTTCGTTATCTATTGCATCGAATAATACCCAATAATCGAATGCTGAGTCTCAGGATGGAAATGTTTCAAATATTAGTGTGCAGTAGAATCGATGCAATTAAGTTCTGAATATTCTGAATATCATACAAATGACCATCATGACTTCTTTTGCAGGAACGAATTCGATAAAGCCAATTTTCGAGTACTACTTCCACTATATCAAGTCATAAATTATGAATAGCACGTTCAATATTGACTTCTAAAGTTTGAAGACAGTCTGATTTATCGCTAAAGATCAATTACTTCAAATAACTGCACAAGCAATCTTGTCCGTCTTGTTGGAACTAGATGTTGTCCAGATCAACTTCTTTCAATTGCGGCCATAAAAAGTTGGTCATCATCTATTTATGCCGACAGTAACGGCGTCACCAGCTTCATTTCGAAAGACGTATGATACCGCCGATTCCACCAGACCAAAAACCACACCAACCTGATAATTTAGATGATTGTAATGGTTGTTCATGAAAAATTTGTGGATTTTCTTCGCTTCTTCGCATGCACAGTTTTGTATATTTACCGCACCACTCAGATGAGAAGATGATTTTCTTTAAAAAAATCGTTATCGTTTTCAAGTTGTTTCAAGACAAAGTGAGCAAAATTAACGACGTCTATGGTGGTCCAATGGCATCATTTCTTGAATCATTCGTTATGCAGATAGTGAGACTGTAGCCTGCAATACTACTGCGGCGAGGCGCTTAAACCAGTTTAATAACGAGGTAACTCAATGATAGAGATAAGGAGTCTTGACATCCATTCGTCTACCTCGAGCGTACAGTCAATAAGCTTGATTAATATCGCCTCCCGAACCCTAGATCTTCTGCTATCTTAAGGGCAGCCACTTCTAGGAAGACGTTGCATTACCAAAGTAGAGTTTTCTGACTTGTAAGAGCCTAGTATCACTTGTTGAAATTTTAATAAGCATTAAAAACTTCTCCGAAGTATTTTTTTACTTGATAGAGGAGGACCTCGTATTTCTCTGCTGATGGCTTATTGCATACTTTCAGAAGTTTAATATAGAAATCGGCTCCACAGAGTCCATTCTAGCACGGTCTTTGTGCTTACTAAACTATAATCACTATCTGCATAAGTCATTGCATGTTAAATGGTATTCTGTCGAGAACAGACATAATATACTCGATACATATGGAGGAAGACACCTGTTTGGTTCTGAAAGCGTGAGTTATAATAGCTCAGCAGATTTCTTGAAGCCTGTTATAATACCTGTTTTGCGTTTTCATCCTAGTATACTTTCTGATTCACCGAACTCTTAGTTCACAGTCTTACTTTACTCGACCCAATCAGTGGATGAGGTAGCAGTGCGTTATTAAATCCAAACTGGCATGTGCCGACGACCGAGATGTGTCATGACACAGCTAGTCGATTACCTCTTATGAATACCAGGAAACGGTGGCTATGACATTTCTTGCTAATATAATCATATTTGCCTTCCTTGAGGTATATTCGCTGGGTGAAATTTAAAGTTTTGATTTCTTCTTGACTCCAACAAATCAGCGTTTAATCAGCGATCACGGAACGATCCAGAAACTCTTTCGGATTATATTTAAGTAGTCTTAAACACTTGTTGTCCAGAGTGAGCAAACGCGATATTCATAATGCCAACAGCTTTCAATATATGACACATTCAGTCTTTGGAGATGCTTAACGTTTCAGCTATATCACGCATCTTCAATCTGCGCGAAATTTTCAGAGCACCTTCCAAGCAGTCTCTAAACTAATTTTCTTTCAAAACCAATAAATCAACGACTTAAGCACTCCAAGAAAACTATCGCTTTTACCCGCGATCAAAAAAACCTACAAGTTCGAAGATTCCAAGTTTAGCCAGGTCCTTCTTTACCTGGTCTTTGAAACAGAGTTTTTAGATATCGAGACTGACGTTGTTATTGAAGTTAATTTTTGTTGAAAATAGACGAAATTATATACGACTTCGAACTTATGACTTTCAACAGTGACGTAGGAGCCAAGTCGCAAGTGCGACGACAGTTTGTTTGATGTCAGGAGATATTTCGTCTTGCCCTCGTTCACCACCAGACCCATTTGCTACGCTTCCTTATCTAGTCTGGAAAAAGCAGAACTAACGATGCCAGCAGCTTTACATTCTTATAGAAGATTGTACCTGCTCGATTAAGCTCTGCAGCTGGAATTATTTTCTCCAGGAGTAGATTGAAGAAGTCGCACGATAAAAAGTCGCCTTGTCTGAACAATATAGACATTTTTTTTACCTTAGTGATTTCATCGGTTATTAATAATAAGCTTGATCTGACCGCTTTCGTAGTTAATTGTATGTTTGCTGAGGATTGAGGTTGAAAAGAGAGCCAGCTAACCGAACGGTCCCACTTAAGACATCAATAATCCTTAACAAATTATGTTTTAATATTTATGCAATAACTTAGCCACTATTTATATTTACTTTTCCCTCAGACGTTCAAGGTTTCATTGCTTTCATTGTGACCTTGATGGTCTTATACTTGACTGGTTGTGGCTTGGCGATATTCGGAGCGTTGAAGGTATTTGATATGACTCATTATCATATAATATATATAATACTAATCTTTTCCTCACATGGCAGCTAAAAAAATGGTTTCTGCTCCCTTTTATTATTGGCGACTTTATACGTGTAATCTCCGGCTTTGCCTCACATATTATATTCATGATAATTTTGAAGAAGAAACTCAATTTGGGATTTCTGATCGTTGTCACTTTAGCCGGTGGCTTTATAATCTGTAAGTTTCCAACGGCAACTTTATGTGTTTAAGTATGTTCTTAGATTTGTTCACTTTTGCAGTATACCTCGGCTACAATTGGGCCACAAGCGTTGCACTCTTTCAAATCATCGAACTCATACACACTGAACGCTACCGCAAGCTCTACGGTGATGATCCCTTCCATCCACAATTACCACCAAACTATACTGTCGCCTCACAACTACCGTCTCTGCACGGTTACGGTACAGTGGAGAATGTACGTGTGCTGGTCACGCCACGTAGCGGCGATATAGACGAGCAAAAACTGCGTCAAACTCAACGTGAACCGGTGAACGCTGCCGAAATGCCAGTGATTGCTGTCTTGCCAGCGAATTATAAGAATAGTAATGAACGAGTTGTGCAAAATAAGCAACTAAGGAAGCTACAACAACAACCATATAGTTCCTACGAAGAGCAACAGAACGATTACAATGCAGACTTCGGCAATTGGCAATGGTCCGAGTTGATGGTTGGCAGGCAACGCAAGGCGATGATTAGACGCAACTGGTGAAATAAGAAAGAGGGACGATGAGAGAGAGAGAGAGAAAGAGAGATAGAAAGTTCAAGTGAGAGACTTACTAGAAAGAAGAAAAGAGAAAAAGAGAGATGGGAGTAAAGATGTCTCCGTAAAATTCGGTGTTTATTTCTTTAACTTCTGAACAACTAATATAGCGGTTAAGGCTTAAAAGAAACATTTAATATCAAACATAAAATAGCTGTTCATAAAGAAAAGATATAATCTTTAATATCAGAAATGAGCTTGCTACTAATTATTTAAAAGGAACCAAGCATTTTAAAAAAATAAAATATTTGAACTCAACGAACATTTTGTGTACTATAGTATTATTTCTACCCAAAACTGCATCCGAAAAGAACAAACTGAAGTAAATATATTAGTGATCAGGAGCGTTTATAGAGGGTGATCCATTTCGAAGTTCCTTTTTTTTATTGAAAAATCACAAAACATACTTTGACACTTTGAAGATGATCTCTTTCAAAAATTATCCGCGGTTACGTCTTAAGCGGTCTATCCATTGAGTTTAATTTTCGATGACTCGTTCTAGTGTTTCAACTGGTAACTGGCTCACAAAAGTGTTCTCTCAATAAATCCATTGATTGCGCCGATTTGTTGAAAGCATATGTCACTGAGATGACGAGTTTCTATTTCAGGCATCAAATAGTCGATTATCATGGCGCTGTAAGGGTCGACATTGACGGTTACACTCACTGGCATCATTTTTGAAAAAGTATAGACCGATGATTCCACCGACCCACAAACCGCACCAAACCGTTGAATTTTCTGGATGAAATGATAGCTTTTTAATCTCTTCAGGTTGTTCTTTGTCACAAATCTTATTGGAACTTTTCAAGAGCCCATAGAGCGAAGCGAGCACCTTCAGTTCTTGCACAAACGCTTTTAATTTAAGATCTCGACTTAAAATGCGCCAAATCGTTCCATACGTCAGTCCGAGTTGCTGCGAACGGCGCCGAGTCGACTCTCTACTGTCTTCGTGTACATTCTTAGCTTCTGGCTACAATATTTTCTTCAATGCTGGCAGGATGTGATCTTTTTGGACGAATATTTTCCAATAATGAATGGTGAGTCTCAAGATTAATGATGGTATTGGGAATAGTATCCTAAGTATGCCGATTATGTTAACCATATGTTGCGAACTTTACAGAACATAAATTTTCGTAATAAAGTTGAACGATTTGTATATATAGTTCAGGCCTACGTCTTTCCATGATCAACTGCCAGACAATACTAAACAAAAATAACGTAACAGACTAAAACTAAACTAGGATATTGAAAAAAGTAACTCTACTTGGATCACTTTATCAAATTGTAACGAACAAAATTATGACATATTGACAAACCATTCCTGTCCTGTTGAACCTTCGTACGACTATCGGCAGAACGACTCATCGATGTTATACTACTTCATTTCCAATTGAAAAACTTGCACTCGAGAGAACATCTTTTGCTCAGGAGGCTAACAGAATGTTATTATTTGGTACCTTATTTGATGTTTTTTGCTATCACAGTTCAACAAGAAAAAATATTTCCCTTAAAAGACATATTTTTGATTCATTCTTTCCCTAACAGGCCCCCAACTAGATATCTCTAAAAGCCGTAAAGCAAACTTTTTCAGTTCATAAGGCGTCCTCAGCGCAGTACATAATGGATTTTTTCTGAAAAGACCCTCAAAGTTCTTCTACACTGTTAAACACACTAGGTTAAAACAAGCTTTTTTTTTTTATCTATTTAGTTATGTAAATCTATACACGATATATATAACATCGGTGTCTTTTAAACAGAGAGTTTTCAGGAAGAAATAAAACAAACAAAATTTAATGTTATGGCCAAGTATTCAGCTTCACTATAAACATAGGCGATGCCAATATGTTTTACAAATAATTTATGGTAAGTGACCGCCGCAGCTGATTCTAATTAATTCCACCCAATAGACCTAACTTTCGAACACTTTTTGCAGCAATTGGCACCGAATATACATATTCCATCGTCTTCATCAAGTTCATGCCATAGTTCAACAGGCAGCGAAGCAGGGAGGTATGGCAAAGGAAAGATAATTACGTCTCAACATGTGGAGGCCTTAGAGGAATTGATACTACTGAACCTTCTTTCAGTACTCAACATACTATTGAGGAGCAGCACTATCCGGTGGTACACTGACAACTCGAAAACACCGGAAGGTATTCGAGCATACATTTCGGGACCGCTTACCAAGCTATCCGCACCAAAGGGTATGTATTCCGAGCATCTTTTAATCAGAAATCTTTGCGGTAAGTTAGTGTGTGGCATTAAAAGTAAATCAGTCAAATCGCTATTAGTCTAGGAGTGTATAAGAAGGCTGAAACGCATATTAGTTTGTAACCGTATACTAATAGGATTTACCGGGTTTACGACATGGAACCGGAAACTCTGGAACTCTTGATTTTAAATTGCCTAGCAATATGTAGAAACATGCTCAAAGCCCTTGGATCCATCCACATGGACAGAGATATCATATCATCTCCATCGCGCCCAGCAAGCTCCTGGAATTGTTTAGAGTTCTGGATCATTGTGACCTTTGTGTTAAAGGAGAGGCCACAATAGATCATCGCAGTGCAATACCTCAATTAATTTCTATCTTTCTATCTATTCCATACTATCTTTCAAGACATCAATCATTTCGGTATTATCTGCTTAGACAAGCGACTCAACATAATCCCAGAACTAATAGGCCTTTGGTGTTTCATCGCATAATCTTGCAGGACACTACTCCGTTTGATTTCTATAAAAACTACAAAATGTAATATTTTAAGAAAAGTTTATTTCGAAATCCTTATTTCTATATTASAATGATTTACTACAAAAATAAGTATTTGTATTCTAAAAAATATRTTTCTATGCAAACCTATACAAAATAAGTTAACTTAAATTATCAATTTAAACGGTTACACTATACTATATATCTATATTATATATCCGGTAATATCACGTGAAACATTTCTTATTGGTTCCAAATAAAATTCGATACTCTGGCTGTATAACTYGTTTGATAAGCTTATTCGTGGCTGGTACGTAGCTGAGACGTGGCGAATTTTTGTCATAATATTTGATGCCTGGTGAATGCACCAAAAAAGCGGGATGTAAAACGAAATAGTCATATTTGAGCAAACACATGGCGTAGCCCTGTAGGAATGGTAGTAAAAAAATATGTTAATATAGGTGTATATTTTATATTTTTTTCTTATAAAATCAAGAAATATTCCTGAGTCAAGCTAATGAACTATAATGAATATACACCCTGACATATCAAACAAATGTCCACAGCGTGCAATGAGTCTCCGCCTGAGACTAGCTAACGGAACATATCTGACACCCTTCTCCCTATGGTCCGACCCCGTCGAAACAGCGTCGATGACAACTTATCTATTTCTTATCATCCTAACGAGGATTATGAACCAATTACATAACAAAAACCTCACTATTTGTATAAACAAATTCATTCATCCTGCGTTTAAAGACTGTTATACAATTTAGCATCTCGGGAGTTTCCGGCACGATGTCGAAAAACCGGCAGTTGCAAGAAGTTTACAAGAAACCACCCATTAGCAATGGCATGATTTAGTGCCAGTACTTTTCCCTACTCATTCTGACAACCTCCGCAGTCTGTTCACTCTCGCCTACTGCTTTGTGAACTGGCATTGATCTTAGATGCACTAGTTAGGTCAAGCATGGAGCTACTCCATTCAGCCTTACTGTCGAGTGTGACTTTAAACTTCTTTGTGAAGTTTACTCTTTTGCTAATACTGTCGCTTGGGAGAAGAATCAATAGTGTCTCATCTTCTAAATAGTTTTATATCACCTAGTAGATCTGAATTTTCCTATTTTTCACAGTCAGATTCCTTGTCATATGATTCGTGATTACCACTCTATGGCATGGAAAGTTTCTAAGCTTATAATTTGAACTTCTCTACAAAATTTCCTTGAAAGTTATCTGAAGTACTAACCTGTATTCGCTTATTTGACTGTCCCTCCCACGTGACACGCTCATCGAATATTGGTTCCTGATTATCGCTAATGTAGAACGGTTCCCAATAATGGAATTTGCCTTCACGTTTTGTTGCCGAAAAAAGTGACAACTCATTGGTATCCGAGGCGTTAACCCATTCATTATGTTTCGGCACTAAATGGCAATTTTTACAGATTTTCGAATGAAATGGTATCGCTTTATGTGTTCGTAACATTTCAACTAATTGTGTTTTGGTTTCAGGTACCTGACTATCCTTAGTTACTTCGAAAACGGGTATGGTGAAGACACTGTAAAATAGCGAGAAGAAATAAGTATATTTATAAAACTTTTTTTGAATAAAAACTATCATTAATTAGCAACAAACTTACCGCAGTTCTTTATTATCCAAATACACACTGCGGTTCCGCTCTACCATCTCGAGAAATAAACGCGGTAAGTCCGGCATCGGATACAATTCAATATCTGATGCAAATATAAAATATGTATTGACCGATTTACGTGCAATATTGCGTCCAACATTTATGGGATAAGTCATATTATGCTCTGTCTTGTACATTGTACTGCGATCCACATCCATATAAGGTGGCGCTGCCTCACAGTCATATGGCCATAAGAGCGCCTCTTTTTCCGTCAATGGTGCATATTCAGGCATATCCGTTGGTGGGAAATATATATGGAAGGTGACATAATCACGTATATATTGGCTCTCACGCAGACAATTACGCACAAATTGTATGGAACTCAGTGTGGCATTGAAGTCATAACCCGGCGAGAATATGGCGAAGCTGATCGGCGCTTGCCAACTATGGAAAGAAATGAAAATTTGATATAATAAATCTACCCATTCTTATCTGGTCAACATCAGATTAGTATAATATTGTGGATCTGCTTTGGATTACTATTAAATAATTATTCCATTTAATCACAAAGCCAAGGAGAATAAGTTGTTGACGGCCGAGAATTTTTTTGGAGGCTATCTAACTTTTTCGTAACTAAATTCTAAGTACTTAGAGATCCACAAAAATTAGCACTACAGGTAAGGATGAATGGGCTATGCTTTTTATCACTAAAGCAACTCTAGACCAAGTACTTTCCACATTCAGTTCATTTTAAAACTACCACTTTATATCAAGAACTTGGAAATCGCTTAGATATGAGTTCAAGTTTTTGGATGGTTTTCAGTACCAACTCACTAGTAGGAAATTCTTTAGATGAGGTTATTTTAATCTGGTAGGCAAATAAGTCACGCATAGACCAGTTTTGGTCCTTTACGATGCCAAATGGAGTTCAGTTACTAAGTCCAAGAGGAGTAGTCATCATTTAGGATCCCTGCACTTTATGCGAATTTTAACAGACTCTGCCAGCCTCTAAATCTTTTCCATTGGCTTTCGGTAAGAATACTTATAGATTTCCGTATGCCTGCCCACTATACTACTGCATAATAGAGCAGATTTTTCTTACAAAAGCTGTGTAGCACCAGTGCATAAGAGAGGAAAAGAGCTCCCTGGTTCTGCTGAGCATCTGCCTACACACATATAAGCATTGCAAAATTTTTTCACACTTACTTCCTTCAAGATTACCCCAAGGTACTTCCGGTCCGGTTCTTCAGATAGAGAGTTGTGTCTCAATTATCGAAGGGAACCTCCATAGAACTTTTGTGAATACAGGCAGATCCGTTTTCTTTAAGTTCAACCCCAGACCGCTTACCATCTGCAGTTCTGGACGGTATTAAGAGCGGTGGTCATAATACTGCCAATAGTCTGTAGACACCCACCCGTTATTAAGACGGCAGTGCCGTCCGTATATGCCACAACCTAAGAGCTTCACCTCCCAAGTTCTTTAGCAATTTATACAGCACTAATGTCCATAGAAGCGGTTTTATACAGCAGAATCAATACCTATTGACTGGACGATATTCGTTGTTGAAGAACGGTCCAGAGATATCCAGATATGCTCCATAAGTATATTCCTTATATTCAAGAACACTTTCGATATTACATACCAGTATATTGAGTGCGGTCTTTACTAATCTTCCCTTCCGTCCAAGATTTTCTCCAGCATTTTTAGCTGGAAAAAAGTTAAACTTATAGGTCTAAACACTTTTGAGTAGGTTAGGTTGTTTCTACCTAACTTCGGGGTGAAAACTACCCTAGTCTAAAAATGGCTCGAATGTTTCTATCTGCATGGGAGATTTGTATGGGTCAAATGAGCGGATTTTCCGTTATTTATAGTGGATACAAATGTGGGTCAATAACATTTCAACGCTGGTATAGACGAAAATTATTTTAAAGCTGTTTATTTGGTCTTGAGACCATTTCAGCAGAGGAAAGTATAGATCATAAGTACAAATGGAAACATGGCTTAAACCTAAGAGAAATGAGTGTTTAGTCTATGCATCTGATTGATTTCCGACTGAAAACATGAAAAGTAGAGATTATAAGCAAGAATGAGAACTTGACTTGTGCCTAAAAAAAATTAATGTTTGGACCATATATAATATCAGAAAGAAGTATCGACCACACAGAGAGAAAGTTAACTGATTTCAAGTTTTTACCACTTAAGTTATTTATAATCAAGCCACTACACTTACCGTTCCGTTAAGAATGGCAAACTATCGAAGAACGTGTAATCACCATTCGTAGTCAATGTAATTGTGTCGGCGCAACCAACCGACGTGCTAATCGTACCACGTATATAATTACGCAACAGCCAATAGTTGCCATATTGAATCTTCTCCAACATCAACTGTCGATCGTTGCATTTTAGTAATTTTTTGAGACGTTGTCCCAATGTGGGCGGTGCTTCGGTTAATATTTTCACTTCACGACTATCCTTCGGTTCAATTAATTTACGACGTTGCAATTCTTTCTCGAAAAGTTCATCGCCGAAAAAAACTTCAGCAGGCGAAGGTACGGCTTCTTCGACGTTAATGTTTCTCATATCATTTGATATAACACTCTCTTGTATGGCAACGCTGGCACGAAAAGCATGTTGCATAAATACGAAGAAGCCACAAAGGATGAACAGAGAGAGTATCAGCACGGGAAAGTCGCGTTTTAGCATTTTGACATAGCAGCTCACGTAGTGCATTGAAGTTGTGTTGCAGCGTTATACAATTTTTAGTCGCTATTTCAGGCTTTTAAACATTACACCTAGAATTAATATAGAAATTTATGAGAATTTTTTTTTTTTTTTTATTTTTTTTTTATTTTT